CAAACTAGTAAGATATAATAATTTTAGAAAAATAATGGTTTAGTATTGTTATATAATTAATTCATGGGTTACTTTAATTAGTCATTTATAAACACACAAGACAAGCATTATAGTTTATTATTAGTCAGATAGAGGACTGGTATATCAAAAGTAAGTGAAAACAGGGGTTTAGGGGGTAGCTCAGTAAGTAAAATGCTTGCCATGCAAGCATTAAGACTTTAGTTCAGATCCTTAGTATACATATAAAAAGCTGGCTGTGGTGGTGCATTTCTGTCATCGGAGTGTTAAAGAGGTAGAGTCAGAGATGACCCCAAGGCCAGCCTTGCTGAATCGGTATGCTCCAGGCTCAATGGATGATGCCTGTCCTTAAAAAGTGATTGAGGATGATACTTGGCATCAATCTCTGGCATGGTTCACACACACGCACACACACACCTAAAAGTTCACATGCCTGACAAGAACACATGCACACCAGACATATATACACAGAGAGCAAAAACATAGTGTATGCAACCAAAGGGACAGTTACAATATTTAGGTAATATTTAATCAGTATAAAATCGTTTTGTGTTTTGGGACATTGGGCAAATTATTCAATTTCACTAAGCCTCAGTTTTCTTTGGAAATAACAATACCTGATGATCTCAAATGAGTGTCATGAATATATATATATATATATATATATATGTGTGTGTGTGTGTGTGTGTGTGTGTGTGTGTGTGTGTACAGAATGTGGCACTTATGATCATTAAGTGTCAATAAAATGACATTGGTATAATAAATTATTTATTGAGTACTTGCCCTGTAAGCAAAATTATGATAGAATGTGGGAATTCATGCATAAAGTATGAGACTCATTTCTAGTACTTGAAACATTTATGTTTAACAGTTCTCAACTAGGAAACATACAGGATAATTATGGAAGAAACAAGATGAAATCTAGAGTTTTCTTCTCGCTATAATTATGTGTATCAGTACTTATGTATACTGTGCTTAAGGGCTACACTGAAAAGTCGCTCAGTGATTAAGAACACTTGCTGATCTTGCAGAGGACCACAGTTCAATTCCCAGCATCCACATGTCCTATGCATGTGTACCACATGCCTACATGCAGGCAAATGCTTATGTACAGAAAATAAAACAAAGATTAAAAATATAAAAAAAATTGTACTTTCCTACTGATAAAGTTACCAAAGATGACAATCTTTTTTTCTTTTTTTAATTTTAATATTTTTTATTTTTATTTATTACAGTTTATTCACTTTGTATCCCCCCCCCATAGCTTCCTCCCTCTTCCCCTCCCAATCCCACCCTCTCTCCCCCTTCTCCACCCATGTCCCTCCCCAAGTCCACTGATGGGGGAGGTCCTCCTCCCCTTCCTTCTGATCCTAGTCTATCAGGCAAAGATGACAATCTTTTAATGAAAATGCAAATTTTGTTTTCTTTTATAAAATTCCAGAGATAGTTAATACATGATGGACTAGATAGTATCAAGTACCCCTGGTTTTGTTTTTTTATTTTATTTTATTTTATTTTTTGTTGCTGTTCTTTCTTTTCTGCCTTTTGTGATCTATGTCCCTAACTACAGAAATTAACAAACAGTCCAAGATGGCTGCTGAAGCTCCAGCCATAAGTCCATTTTTCTTAAAGGGAGGAAACTGGAGGAATGGGGAATGAGTAAAATTGAACAATATTAGCTTTTATTTTCACCTTTAAAAAAAACTGTTTTAAAAATCTCATTGAAAAATTTTTACTACACCCAATTATTCAGATCTTAGTCACAAGAGGAAGGCTAGAACATTTAGTCATTCAAAAGACCATTACAATTCCATTCATAGGAAAGAAGGAGAGAATGAATATCCAGAAAGCAGTGCACAGGCTGAGCAAAGCTGGATGCAGGCAGGCAAATCATCAATCCTTGAATGCTTGCATTTCCTTAGATACAAAAGGAAAATTCTGACTCCCAGTATCAGTTGTTAGTAGTCATAAATAAAACAATAAGCAAAATGCTCACACTGTAGCTACCCGGACCATGAAATTGGTCACTGGACACTTCAATATTATTATATGAGTAATAAATAACTCGAGAAAGATCATGAAAACAGAGTGATGTTTTGGTAAGCTTCTATGAATGGATCCAGCTATGCAGAAACCTTGTAATTTCTTAGTGGACAATTTGAACATTTTGCTGTCCAATTTGGTACTCTTCATTAGTTCCTTTTACTTTCAGGGAGAGCCAGAGCCCTATGGATAGGGCACAAGGCATTTGTGCTCTTGGGTAGTTCTCTGTACCTTGACAGGAACATCTTTTCCTAGACCCTTCCTGGCAGTTTATGGTCTTTTCCCCACTCTGCTTGCACATGTGTTGTAAACAACTACCAGGAATACCCTGCCTTCTACTTTGTCCCTATGACTTCAGTGTGTTTCTCATCATCTAGTTCAAGCATCAGGTTCCTGGGAGGCACCCTGTGATTGTTTGAATCTGAAATGTCTCCCACAGGCTCAAGACTGGAATTGGTGTTACTATATAGTTGTATTTTAAAGCCACTGTGGAGCCTTCAGGAGTAAGTCTGTCCTGCAGAAACGTATCATTGGTGGCAGGCAGGCCTTTATAAGAGTTATAGCCCTTCCTGATTCTGGCCTTTTCTCTCTACTTCCTTTCTATTCCATGAGCCTACCATCATTTCTTCCTTGCTCTATGGACTAAAACACCCTTGAAACCACAATCTGAAACAAGCTCTTTCCCCCGTGAAGCTGCTACTCTTTGATATTTTGTCACAGTGATGAGAAAAGTTAGCCAATATTCTTGTATATAGTAGTAATTCATTTAATATTTCATTTTTGACAACTCATGGTCTCCAGGGTTTAGGAATTTCTGTCTTCTTATTTTGGCTATTCTGGTGAGGACAATGTTCTCAACCCTAGACTGAGAATCCAGATAGCTTTAACACTTAACCACAATTGAAAACGCCTTTTTCATTGAAGGTTATATGTTCAACCACATAAAATTTGTCCTTTGATTAGTTTGAAAATGGTTCAATATAGGCTAATTAATGTTTCAAACTAGTATTTTCTTCACATCTTACTTACACTAAAGAAAACTAGTAAACATTCCAGTAATAAACGATAATAAAAACTTAAATGAATTTTAGTTCTGTTAAAGAACTAAAATGAATTTTTGCATTAACAATAGATTTTAAAAGTGGTTTTAAAGGTTTAATATCACCCAAATCATTGAAAGTTTGAAAATATGTTAATAACTTTAAGCTTTTGCTATGGAGTTGCTAAATGCCCTAAGGTGACACCTTGACACCTAGGTGCATGTGTTCGTACAGTCATGTGCAAGAACTATTGGCAGGGCCTGTCCTCTGGCTGTCTTTTCCATCCATTCACTCTAATGAGAAACTCAGCTCTCTGATAATGTTACATACATTAACCCACAAGGAAAAGGCTGTATTTCAGTTCTAACCATACTTTTCAATGTTCAATGGCATATTATGATAAAAAATTATTTTCTCATGGGCTCTTCCTCAATGGACAGGTTTCTTTTTTTGTATCTAGAATGAATGATTTAGGTTTGATTTGAACCCACTTCTGTAGACTCAGGATCAAACCAACATCAAAGGCATTTAATGCGTGCTAGGTTTTGAATTATCTATAAACAGTTACATCACCGCACAGGAGGACTATGCTTGTACTTAGTAACCAGGAAACAAAAACAAAAACAGGTGTGCACTTATCCACTCAGAAACAAAACTGACTTGAGAATGTCCTTCTGGTGATCAAGATAATAAAAGTCAGTGCTGACTATGGAAGAATGAGAACTCTGGAATTTCTTCCTTAGAGTTCTTTTGCAAAGACGATTAAGAGAAAACAAAAACAGTGGCAAAAGGAGAGAAACGTTGAGGTCTTCATGGTTTCACTAAAAACAGGCGTATCCTTTAAAGTCTTAACTCACTACAGAGGTTCCCGTGAACATTTCCTTATCCCTTCCAACTGTAAGTGTGCCTGTATTTTTGAATCTAGAAGAAGACTGCCGGGAAGTCTAATTTTCATCAATATTTTTCAAGTTTGAGATTCTGCCATACACATAATTACCCTTTTATTCTTTCTACAAGCCAGCCTGAGGAAAGTAATAGGTTCAGAGGTGGAAAGAAACTGAACTGTGTTCCTTATAAGACTCTATCACAGGAACCCAAAGGACTCCCTAGCCAGGAAAGTTGACAGCCTGCTGACTCATACTCTGATGTCCTCTAATGTAATCCTAACAACTTCTTTAGGATATTGTCTTTGGGATATCTTAAAGCCACTCCCCAATCCTCATCAGTATTTAATCCTAACAACATCCAAGAGGTTCGGAAGTAAGCTGCCTCTTCCGGAGGGATTCCCCACAACCCCAAACATTTCAGGATTCCCCACAACCCCAAACATAAGGACAAGTTTCAACCGCACCCTGTGCAGTGGGTCTCTGGCCCAGGGTCACGGCCACAGGCTGCAGGCGAATCTGCCTCTCCTCACTGACCCATTAAGCCGAGGGTCGAGTTGCTTCCCAGTAGAGCACAGCACCGCTGAACTCTTGGCTGTCCACTGCCCCGCCACCTCTTGCCCAACGACTGCTAGGTGCCTAAGAGATTCTAATTGACAGCTAAGATCTCAATCACGGGTCCCTCCTCGCAAAGCTGAAAGAAGCCAGGCGCACGGCAACTTGGGAGATGTAGTCCTCCTAAATGTCATCACTCTCGGGGTTTTCTCCCGAGGTCCCTAGAAGAGAAGATAGTCAGTTTGATGCCATGATATCTAGTTATAAGATCCCACTGTAGAGGCAGAATGGAGCCCCAAGGTACAAGTGAGGATACTTCCTAGAGGAGGCAGAGAGAACGGACTACAACTCCCATGCCGCCTCGCGCGGAGCAGGAGCCGGCTGCTCGCTTTGCGTGACCGCAGCAGGTTGGTCCTGGAACAGATGAGCGCAGAATATTTAGGCGAAAGCGAGAGGAGGGGGGGGAGCGCGGGGCTGGAGGAGTACCTCGGCCAAGAAAATTATGCATGCGTTAGGCAAGCTCTGAGAGAATGGCTGTGGAAGGTAAGGGACACTTGGGGCGTTTTAAGCTCCCTCTTAACCCGCACATCCCAATCTACACATCCCTGATGAAGCTCGGTTCCGGCGGGGAGGAGAGAAAAGGGGGTGGCGGCGAGAGGGCCCCTTCTCCCTTGTATAACTTGGCACTCACCTGAGTCCTGTAAGGCCAAGATGCACTTGATTCACTTGCCTTTGAGAGACGTCTAGGTGCGCAGGACTCCAGGGTAGGAGGAAAGAGCGCTCCCAGTCCTAAGCGATGTGCTGGAAATGGGTGGAAAACCGGGAAGTCCAGCACGAGAGTACAGCCCTGACTTGACCCCTTTCCCTGACCCCTTCCAGCCAGGATGGTCTGGGTGGCCACATTACTGGGGATGCTCTCTTTGCCACCTACACGTGGGAAAGGTCTGTAGCCAGAAGCGTCATTCAGAAGCTTGGACCCTTCGCTGTGTGTACCCAGCAGTGGCTGCCCCAGATGTGCCCCTAGGATGGGGCTGTCTTTACACCTGTCTCTGTGTAGTCCTGCCCAGGGTTAGCAAAGTTCACAGAATCAAAGTGCAAGCCAGCCGCTTGGATTGGGAAATCTTTTTCTTTGAAGACTGCCTTCCTCTTTCACTGCCTTCCGTGTAATTTTGGACTTCGAATTTGCCATTTTGATTGCACAGCCCTGACTCTTTTTGAACTTCTGGTTAAGAGCTAGGTCAGGCAATTTTCGAGGGATCCAAGTTTTTCAAGTCACGTTCACTTGCTTTAGAGCACAGGTTTTTCTGTTCAGGTTAGTTCCAGCAGGGAACGGCACATGTGGAGCAGTAGGATTTCTGATGTCAAATTAGAGGTCTCGTTGCACCTCTATGATGAGCTGAAACGAAATGAGTGCGGGATTATATGAAGAGTCTATCTTCACTTCCAGAATTATGGTTCCCGAGTACACTTAGGGTTAGAGGAGACTGAAGCGGGAAAAGGAAGGCATGGTTGCCAGCTACAGCAGGCTGCTTGCCAAAGGGAAATGAGCTGGTTCCTTGCAGGCTACAAAGAAGAAAAACCACAGGGTGGCTTGCTTCTGCCTCACCTGTCTGCTTCAGGAGACAGAAAATGAACTATCCTGATCCTTTACTTACTTCAAGTAGCAACATCCCAGCTCACACACTCAACACCTGTAAACTCAGGAATGACAGCCTCTAGGCTATCTCAGGATCAGAGCTTCTCACACCAATGCCTCTAGTATTAGCTTTCCCAACTGTACCAACAAAAACATTCACCTCCCCAACACACACCTGGCAGGTGGATAGATAACAGATAGATGATAGATGGGTTGATAGATGATAGATTGATAGATTAATAGATATAGATAGATGACAGATAGATAAATGATAGAAACATAGGTACATAGATGATAGATATAGATAAATAGATGATAGATATATAGCTAGATAGGCAGGCACAGAAACAGAAAGCCAACGTAAAGTTCGTCAGTGAGCCTGATGACAAACTCTGTTTATCTTCTACCACCCTTCCACTTTACCCGTCAGGTGAAATTAATTATGATCTCCCTTTTGTGTCAGTAAGGGACACTTCCTCTCCACACTGTCTTAAAGATACTTTTCTGTTCACTCTGAGAAGTACAGAATGGAATTAGTCATATTTCTTGCCTTGTGAGATTGATTGTTTCAGTAAAGCCAGACCTTACAAAAACAAGGGTTCTGAAAGTGCATGTAGACTTCTAAGAGCTTATTTTATTTTCTAGTGACTTCCTTGACTGAAATATCTGTGTAGTAAATGGGAGTCCCTGGGTTTGAATCACGATGAGGACTGAAGTAGATAGGTGAAGGGAGTGTTTTAAACTTTCTTTTGGGTGGGGGGGAGGTGCTGCCTGTAGGTTGTTTTTTGTTTTTGTTTTTGGTTTTTGGTTTGTTTTTTGTTGTTGTTTTGTTTTTTGCAAAGAGAGTTCTTTAGGCATAAAGGAGGCTCTTCCTGGTTACTGCCCAGTGGTCCTTCAAGCCTCAGGAAAGACATAATTTCCTCTAGGAAGTTGTTCCAGACCTTCCAGCTCTTCTGCCTTTCCAAGCTATGGGGACCTTCTGCTATGGTCTTCCCTAGTACCAATGCGTAAATCTGCCCTACAATTACCACACTCAATGCATCTCTCCCTGGACTCGGAAGCCCTGGAGGATGGAGAGCATAATCTCCAATTTCCCTGATGATAGCACAGTACTTGGCTCCTAGCTGGCCCTCAGAAACTGCCCATGGATTGCACAATATTCATGGAACTTTTTAAACGGACTCCACAAGAGTGCCCAAAGCTTTCTTAGTCCAAATGCCACAGAAGGGGAGCTTTTATTTATTTATTTAAGGAATGGTACCCTCTCCAAGCCCTGATTGAAGACACAAACACTGGTTTCATCTGCTGCTAAAAATGATGTTGTCCTCCTAGTACTCTTTTGAGATTTAGGAAATGGTACCTCGTGCTACTTTTTAGAAATCTGTGCCCTTACTTAGACCATCAGGGTGTGAAATGCCCTATCCTGCAGGACCATCACATATAGAATCCCAAGTCCAGAACAACAGTGACCAGTTTACACTGAGAAATAGTAATGTTTACTGAGAAATAGTAAGTCAGGGAAAGAGGAATTTTTAGCAGAGGAACTTGAAAGGGAATAGAACATGTAAGAATGTCTGGGCTTTCATGTCTATATCTGAAAGAAAAAAAATGGCTTGCTACTGTTTGCTTTTTTGGAACAGTGTAGAAGAGGACAGGTTTTATAATGGTACCTAGGACACAGGTTAAGTATAAATGTTATTTTCACTCTCTGCCATTCCTCTCCTTTAAAAAGAAGGCCTCACTGTTTAGCACCTGTTTTACACTCTAACATTTTACTTATTCATGCCAGCCACGTTCTCTAATTAGTAACAAATTAGAAGGTTTTTATAATGTGTAACCCTCCTGTTAAGTAAACTTGAACTTGTAAAAATGTTAATTGCAAAGAGTGCCCTTACTCATTTTGCTAAATGTATGCCTTCCTATTTAACATGGAGAAGGATGCCTTTCGTTTTCTATTTTATGGCTACTGTGCTATATACATACATACACACATATACACACATATATGTGTATATCACATTGAATTTAAGAACATCCGACTTGTTTCTTAATTGTGGCTTTTGCTTTGTTTTTCATTCATGAGTGCCTGTACTTTATACAATTACCTTAGGTGTTTATGTCTTGTGTTTAGCCCAGTGTATACCCTCTGTGAATGAATGAATGAATGAATGAATGAATGAACGAACAAATGATTGATGACAAATTGCAAGGTGGTGTTAGGAGTAGTTTAATTTCTGTACTTGCTCCCATACACATGTGTTTTCCAACCATGGTATAGGATAGTGTGTTACAATCGCCATTGTGTTGAGATTATATTGTCATGTTGAATATTTTTAAGTGGAAAAGTAGGACCTTTAGTCACCCATTTGCCATACATAGAACACATAGGCAGTTGTGTATGTACTGATGTCATTCCGTCCAAATGAGTTGTGATGTTATAGGGAGAGGGGGAAATGCAGATCCATTAGAGGTGATGTTATATTTGTCTCTGTATTCTACAAGCAGTGCTGGGAACTTAGGAGACAGCAATTGTTTCATCGGTTCTCTTTTCTCATTGTCCTTGGATCCTTCTCTATTCTTTTATCCTCAGCTCTTTTTGACAAAAGTGGCATGAGTGATCATTCTGTTCTTAGTGTTTCTACAGCAGGTCAAACAGAATAGCTCCTCTTAAACAGTAAGAAAATGACTTCCAATTTTCAGCCCTGGAAGCTCCCCTCCCATCAAGAAAGTATTTCAAATGGAAAGCTATGTGCTTTAAATGACATTTGTGATCTGAATTGTCCTTCTTAGCTGATCATAATAGTTTGTTAAATGACATCCTTCCAGTCATTCAGTATTGAGATTCTGTAGTTTTTCTGTTATAAGAAGGAAAACACTGCTTAACACTAGACTCTTTAAAGACTAATTAATAACTGGAAAAGAGTCAGGGGGACAGACACTTGTAGCAAAGAGAAACAGTCATGGGATTGTGGGTTTGGGGAGCTAGTAAATGATTATACTACCCACCTTGATTTGAGAACTAAGACCTTGAAAGGAATAACCACACCATAGCTTCCAGTTATGCTGCAAAGGGAAGAGAGAAGGGCTGAGCAGCCTGTGCCTTGTGGCTTACAGGGGCATGCATGTAAGATTGCTATCCTCTTTTTTTTTCCCCCATCAAGAGGATGGGGAGAGAGACCGGAAGCATTCTGATGAAATCCCCCTGTTCCATGCAATGGGACGTGGCTTCCCTGCCATTGTCTTACCCCACCCAGACTCTTACAACTACTTTTTCATTCTGTCTTATATCTAGCCCATGTGTACTGTTTGAATGAATGGATGGATAAATGAGAGATGAGTGAGTTGCTGGGTGGGAATCCCATACTGGCCACCATACTGATGAACTGCCAACCCTGTTCACAATGAGACAGTGAACATGCTTCCCAATGGGTGTCTCAATCCAAACTCTTCTAATTCTCTTTCACTTCACATATCATCAAGGGTTCCTTCTTTTTATCATTTCTCTTAATTTTATTTTCTAGTCCATCAGATCTGATTTACCTGCCTCATCAGCTCTGTTGATTAGTGGTTTTGGAAATAAGATTGGTCACTAGTTACTCATCACTGAAAATTCCTAGGGTGGAATTATGTGAATAAGAAACAAGGCTCCAAAACCCTGATAATAAAGTTGCTGTGGCAGAAGTTCTGGCCACTCCCATTGCTTCTGCAGCCTTCATCCAGTCTCAGACAGGGTGTGGTCTAATCCCATAGTTGCCTTGCATAACCCAGCCCTTACTAATCTCTTTCATTTTACCCTTTCTTACTCAATAGCTTTGCTGTTCTCATAGGCCAGAATGAATAAAGGCTGGTATAAAGACTGGGGGATGGCAGAAAACTTTACCTGTAGAGTTAAGTGCTGAGTCTTAGTGGCTGGTGTCCTGACTTGTCACAGAGAGGCCATTGGGAATCTGAAGCCTGTGCTTCTATGCCTTTGATTCATCAGGAGAAAAAGGAGCTGTTGCAAGTTCTCATCCATGGTCTTTAGATAGTTTTATGTTGTTCCTTTGTTTGACGTTAGAGAGCTGTCCTTATGCAAAGAACTATGCCAGATATGGTGCTGAAGCAATAAGAAAGAGACCTGAGCTTCTCTCTCCCTGGCCTCCTCCCCTACCTACAATTTGGTGAAAGAGAGAAGCCAAATAGACTTAGTGCTATAAGTACTAAATAAAAGTACAAGCAACAATAGTGGGGGAGGCCTGAGAACAAATGGAGCATTTATGGACAGGCGAATGTGAGCCTTTCATTAGGATTTATGGGTGTGGTGATGGGTAAAGGGCATGGAACATGTATGTATAATGTGT